TAGAGTGGATAGAGAGAAACTGTCCCCACTCGTAAACAGAACCAGAGGGCTCATTTAAAACTTTCGCAGATGAAGCAGACATGAGGTAAACAGTTAGCATTTGGAATTCACTACCTTGAAGTCTGATGGCACAGGTTCATTTGCAGCATCAAGAGAGCATTGGATGATTATTTAAATAGAAACAAGATGCAGAGTTGCAGGCAAAAGACAGGAGATTGGTACTAATTTAAAATGTTCAAAAAGCCAGTGCAGAAAAAGTTGGCCAAATGGCTTCCTTCTGCATCAAACCAGTTCTGATTCCACCACAGACCCAGTCCTAATACCCTGAAATCTAAAGCAATCTCACCTGTAGCATTTTGCCAACCATGAGTTCATTTGCTTGATCTTCCTGTCTATATACTTGCTTGTACACTGTAGAGATACTATGATACTACTATGATGATGAACTTCTGTTTTTGTTCCTGATTTACAGCATCCACAGTTATTTTGGTTTTTATTAAGAGAAAAAGATCTTTTAGGAGTAAGGTGAGTGAAAAATATACACAAAAAGGGCACAATAAAAATGAAATGTCTGATCAAAATGGGAAATTAGGTGATTTTTCCCTCAACTTGTTTTAGATTTTGGTGATGATATCATTATTTACTGCAGTGATCGTTAATTCAGTCGCCAGTTAGTTGATCTCAGGTCTTGGCTTGAGTTAGAAATTTTATTTTCTTTTGAATATTGTTTCTTTTCCAATTAAAACAGAGCGAAGTTGCCAGCTTACATACAGGTTTTTGCAGGCCTGTGTTCCAGCTGATCTTCTTGTCTGATACACTGCACTTAAACCATTCCAAGCCCTGTTGCTCAGCAGTTACTTTGTTTTTCCAAAACAACTGGTGTCAGTACAAAAGTATCAACATCCAGCTTCTTTAAATAAAACATGTATTTGTTTAATCAATATATCAATAAACAATTCCACTTTCCTTTGAGTTATGAAAAACAACTCGTTCATTTGCTGTAGCAGAACAGTCCGAACCTTAATTTTTTCCAGTATATATAGCATTTCTAAATGTAATATTTAAAGTGCTTGAACACTCAACCTAAACCAGGTCTCCCATTCTAACACCGTCCAAACTGGATCTCTCTCCTCCCTTGACTGTCCACAAGCCAGGTCTTCTTCTCATTCCTCCATGGGCTAGTTCTCCCACTTTCATCCACGTGCTCCCAAGTGGTGTCTCTCTCTCTCTCTTTCTCTGTGTCTCGCCCAGCCATTTCCCCCCTCCTGCCATCCTCCTCTGCCGGTGCCAGGGGTCAGGTTTCCATCACTCACTCCTCCCCACCACCGCCACACAGATGCACTTGCACACACACAAACATACTCACACCCCTCTAGTTGTGTTTCCCTCTTCCACACGTCCTGAACGGGGCTTTTCCTCCCACTGCCTATGAGCAGGGGTCTCTCTCTCTCTCTCTCTCTATCACTACCCTAGAGCTAGGTTCCCCCTCTCACACCCACTGAGCTGGGAATTCTGTCTCTCCGTGCACGTGCACCCACACACACACACAGAACCTCCCTCCAAGATGGGTCTCTTCACCCCTCCTTATCTCAGGGCTCCCTCTCCCACACCTCTTAAGCCAAGGCTCTCTTTCCCACTCCCCAGCCTAGGTCTCCCTTTCTCACACAACATCCCTGATGCCCCACATTGAGTCACCCCTCTCACCACACCCATCACTTTTCCCCATGCTAGGTCTCCCACTCCCACTTCCACCAGAGCCACATCTCTCTCTTTCTCTCCCCCTGTCACAGGTTGTGTCTTTCCCCCTGTCATGCCCCTTTTCCACACCCTCTGAATAGTTTCTCCCTTTCTCACTGACCCCAGTCTGGGTGTCCAACTCACCCCTCAACTGGTGTCCCTCTCGGTAGCTCAGATCAGGTCTTTTCTTCTTACTCCCCCCCACCACCAAACTAGGGCCTTCTCTCTCACATAGCCCTTCATCCCTCTGCTCCTGAGCCAGGTCTCTTTCTCCCACTCTCCTCAAGCCAGGCCTACCTCTCATATTAAGCCTGGACTGGGTACACCTTTCTCATTCCCCCACCTCCATGTATCAGGACTATATTTAATGCCCCTACCCTGAGGTCAAATTCCAATTCTCCAGTAGGCAGGATCTCCCACCCCCTCCAGGCAAGATGTCCTACTCCCTCCAGGCCAAGGTTTCCCACACCAACCAGGACAGGGTCTCACTTCCACCAGGGCAGGTCTCCCACTCAAAGCAGGTCAGGGCTTTCCACTACCCCAGGCAGGATCTCCCACTCTCATTGGGCTAGGTCTTCTGCTCCCTGGGCCAGGTCTACCACTCCCCTTTGGTGATCCCTCTCTCTTTCCCCAGGGCTGGCCTCCCCACTTTCCTCACGCTTCGTCGAAAAAGTTCTCACTCCTGCCAGAATAAAACCAAAATTAGCTTTTCATTTATTCCTTTCGTAATATAAACAGGAATAGTTGCAGATAAACATTGTGACTTGCAGAGCCATAGATAAATGAAAGGGAGTGGCAGTAGGTAGATTGCAGAAAGTTGGCACAGATGATGGGTCAAAAGACCTCCCTCTGTACTTTAAGCATCCTGTGATATGAATGTGTCAAGCTTTATAAATCTTGTTTAATCATTTTGGCTGTGTCTGACTTCACTATCCTGTTCCACCTCATTCTAAAGATCTGAAGCTCACCACCAGTTTCTCAAAGGTAATTAAGGATGGGCATTAATGCTTGCATGGCCAGCGATGCCTGCATGCCATGAATAAATAAAGAAAGAAATATTCTTCATCTGTCCATCTCTGCTAATATTTGAGAGTGTGTGATTTAATTAATCACTGATGTGCTCTTGAATTGTCTCACAATCAAAGTCCATATTATATAAACTTTCATAATTGTAAAAGCAAACAAGCAAACTCATGCTGAGTTCAACCACTACATGGTATTTCCTCAAAAGTAATTTTACTTTATCTGAGTGGTTATCCAGTTTGTAAATATATTACCATACATAGAAATGCATTCAAAATACAGCTCTTCACACTCTATCCCACACTTGCTCATCTTTCACCCCTGTGCTGTCTCTCTGACCTTACATGACCCATGCTCCACACACCTCATTAAGAAATTCTCAATCTTGTGCTCAAGACCCTCAATCATTTTGCCATCTTCTGCAATTTGTCCCAACCACACAGCCCTCCAGCACATCTGCTTTCTTACAATTGCTTCCTGTTTGATTGATTGATTGAATTATTGTCACGTACCAAAAAAGCTTTGTTTACGAGAGGTACATGCAGATCACAGCAAGCAAAGGAAGTATAGATCAAAAAGACTGAGAAATATACAGGTTGCATTGCAGATTATATTATTTGAGGCTAGAGTTGATTCAACAGTCTAATAATGGCCAGAAAGAAGCTGTTCCCGAACCTGCTCGTGTATGTGTCGTGTTTATGTTGGAAGTCCAGGACAGGTCATCGGTTATCGTCTTGATGCTCTTCACTCTCTCAACTTCAGTTCCGTTGATGTAGGTGGGGGCGTGGTCTCCACCTTTCTTTCTGAAGTTGAAGATCAGTTCTTTAGCTTTGCTGACGTTGAGAGACAGATTGTTTTTATTGTCACCAAGCCCTCTGTCTCCCTTGTGTATTTTGACTCGTCGTTGTTAGGTATCCGTCCCTCTATGATAGTGTCGTCAGCAAACTTGTAGATGGCGCTCATTCGGAATTTGGCAACACAGTTGTAGGTGCACAGGGAGCACACTAGGGGGCTGAGGACGCATCCCTGGGGGGCTCCAGCATTGACTGTTATTGTGGAAGAGGTGCAATTACCTATCCTCACTGATTGCGGCCTGTGGGACAGAAAGCTGAGGATCCAGTTACAGAGGGCAGAGCCGAGACCAAGATCACACAGTTTGAGATAGTCCAGAGGGAATAACGGCGTTGGAGGCAGAGCTGTAGTCAACGAGCAGGAGTCAGACGTAGGTATCTTTGTCGTCTAGATGTTCCAGAGATGAGTGCAAGGCTAGGGATATGGCATCCTGTGTGGACCTGTTGTCTTCCTTCATCTTCCTTTGACCATTGTGATCATATATTAAATGGGCATACATCCAATCTCTGGACTTCACCAAAAATAATCCAGTTTCTCTCTCTGGACTTCACCAAAAATAATCCAGTTTCTCAACCTGTCACTCCTCCTTATTGACCCTTGTTAAAAGCTACATTTTTGACCAAATACTTAAGTACGCTCCCTAATTACAGCTGTGCAAAATGTTTCCAGACACTTTTGTCACAATGCTACATAAATGCAAAATGTTCTTGCACTGCCCGCTTCATTAGAAGATCTTGAGGTATAATCTTACATTTCAGGTACAGAATGACAAATGTATCCACACATCTGATCCATGGTCATCTTTCAGTCATGCTGCATATTCTGCTGATGTTGTAGTTTCCATTTGCTGTCCTGATTTTGTTACTTCTATCACATCCTTTCAGGTAGTTCGATCACCATCAAAAAAACTTTTAGTAATCTCTCAGCATCTTCACAAACTGGAGATCATTGGAGCAAATGATCATATGAAATATGTCAATTATGACCATAGAACAGACAAATGTTTCAGTTGGAGATTAGGAATGGCATTTATCTATTATTTTCAAGGTTCAGTCTTTGTGAACAGTTTGATTCAGTGATGTCTCCTATTGCTGAAATGTTGAACAGTTGTAACAATCGTAACATATTTTCACTGCAGATGACTAGAGCCTATATTTATACTGCCAACACAAAACAACAAGACACACATTGAATTATTTGTGAAATTATTGCAGATTTATTCACAGATATTTGAGATGTCTTACTGCAACCAAAGAGTTGTTTACAACAAGCCTGGAAAATCGTACCTTAAATCTCTGAAATAATTCATTACTGTTCTGGCAGAAATTCCAAAGATAACCATCATATAACCAACAGCAAATGACACATTTTTTTTCTCTCAATTTTAGAACGCTAAATATTTCTGGAGGTGCAGAGACCAAGATGTTTGGGGAAGGCACTCCTGACATAAGGGGCTTTAAGTCTGTTCAAGTCGGAGACATAGTTAGTCAGATCAAGGGACATAGAGTTGGAAAAAAGTTGATCCATGAAAGGAATCCAGCACCACCATAGAATTTGTAAAATGTCGGGCATTTGTGATTCACACAAGACAGGGTATGGACAGCAGAGTTTTATATCAGTAGATCCCCATTGTCATGATTATACAAATGTAATTTGGTTAATTCTTGTCAGATTCATTCCAAGCTATCTCTGGTCAATGAGACCCTTGAGCTGTTCCTGTGCCAGTTTGCTTTTTGAACTCAAATTATGAGAATAAAGTGCCCATTTATCATCTAGAGTTCACTTCAACTTAAGTCAATTACAGTAAGAGACTGTTTTGAGAGAGCTGATGTTCAAAGTGGGATGTCTGATACTGTCTACCTATGAACCATGCAGATTCACAAAATTTATTAAGTTCCCCATAATAAATACATCAAAAGTATTACTTAACAAAGCCTGTCCATTCTAGATCATTAGCTTGCATCGCTCTGGCTGACTGTGGTGTGGTCTTCTGACCTGATTCTTTCTTCTTGCCATGTGGCTCACTGCTAGAAGTTGCTGCTTATCAACACTTGCCAGTCACTATCTCTGTGCATGATCAGTGGTGTTCCTGAATTCTGATTACTTTAGGCAGCGCATGTTCAGTCTGATTGGTTAGGTGGTATGTGATTGTTGCTGTTTTTAATCACTCATGGGGCATTGACATCGCTGGCTGACCAGCATTTTAATGCCCGTCCCTAGTTGCTGTTGAGAAGGTTGTGGTGAGCTGCCTTCTAGAACCGCTGCAGTCCACATGCAGTGTGGTTGACCACAATGTCATTAGGGAGGGAATTCCAGGGTATTGACCTAGCGACACTGAAGGAAAGGCAGTATATTTTCAAGTTAAAATGGTGAGTGGCTTGGAGCAAAAATTGCAAATGTTTGTGTTTCCATGTATCTGCAGCCCTTATCCTTCCAGGTGGAAGTGGTTGTGGGTTTGGAAGGTGCTGTCTAAGGATTTTTGGTGAATTTCTGCAGTACATCTTGCAGATATTACACACTACTGTTACTGAGCATCAGTCGTGGAGGGAGTGGATGCTTGTGGATGTGGTGTCGATCAAACGGGCTGCTTAGTCCTGAATGGTGTCAAGCTTCTTGAGTGTTGTTGGAACTGCACCATTATACCCCTGACTTTTGCCATGTAGATAGTGGACAGGCTGTGGGGAGTCAGAAAGTCATAGAGTCATAGATTCATACAGTATGGAAACAGGCCCTTCAGCCTAACTTGTCCATGCCAACCAGGTTTCCTAAACTGAACCATTCGATTTGCCTACATTTGGCTCCATATCCCTCTAAACCTTTCCTATCTATATACCTACTCAAATGGTCTTTTCAATGTTGTAATTGTACCCACCTCTACTACTTCCTCTGGCAGCTCATTCCATATAAGCACCACCCTCTGTATGAAAAAGTTACTCCTGAAGTCCATTTTAAATCTTTCCCCTCTCACCTTAAACCTATGCCCTCAAGTTATAAATTCCCCTACCCTAGGGTAAAGACCTTGGCTACTTACGTTACCTGTTCCATCATGATTTTATAAACCTCTACAAGGTCACCCCTCGGGCTCCTACACTTCAGGGAAAATAGTCTCAGCATATCCAGCCTCTCCTTATAACTCAAACCCTCCAGCCTCAGGAACATCTTTGTAAATCTTTTTTTCATCCTTTTCAGTTTAATAACGTCCTCCCTACAGCAGGGTGAGCAGAATTGTGTGCAGTACTCCGAATGTGGCCTTAGCAATGTCTTGTACAGCTATAAGATGATGTCCGAATTCTTGTACTCAATGCTCTGACTGATGAAGAGAAGTGTGCCAAACACCTTCTTAACTACCCTGTCTGTAGTGCCACTTTCAAGGAAATATGAACCTGCTCCCCTAGGTTTGTCTGTTCGACTATGCTCCCCAGGGCTCTACCATTAACTGTGTAAGCCCTGCCATGGTTTGCTTTAACAAAATGCAGCACCCCATGTTTTTCTGAATTAAACTCTATCTTGCCATTCTTCAGCTCACTGGTGCAGTTGATCAAGATCCCGTTGTACTCTTAGATAAACTTCTTCACTTACCACTGTACTGCCAATTTTGGTGTCATCTGCAAACTTACAAACCATGTCTCCTATATTCTCATCCAAATTGTTTATATAAATGACGAATGTCCGATTCTAGCAGACCATTGCTGGTCACAGGCCTCCAGTCTGAAAAACAACCCTCTACCACCATCCTGTATCTCCTACCATCAAGCCATGTTTGTATCCAATTGGCTAATTCTCCCTGGATCCCATGTGATCTAACTTTACTAACCAGTCTACCATGCAGAACCTCGTTGAAGCTTGCTAAAGTCCATTTGGACAACATCTCTGCCTTCATCTATCTTCTTGGTCACCTCTTCAAAAAATTCAATCACATTTGTGACATATGATTTCCCATGCACAAAGACATGCTGACTATCCCTAACCAGTCCTTGTCTTTCCAAAAAGTAGATACAGTCTGTCAGAATCACTTCCAAGAACTTACCCATTAGGCTTACCAGTCTGTAGTTCCCTGGATTTTCTTTGCAGCCTTTCATAACTAATGGAACAATATTAGCCACCCTCCAGTCCTCCGGCACATCATCAGTGGCTGTTAATGATACAAAGATCTTTGCTCAGGATCCTGCAATTTCTTCCCTAACTTCCCACAATGTTCTGGGATACACTTGATCAGGTCCTGGGAATTTATCTAACGTTATGTGTTTAAGGTCTCCAGCACCACCTCCTCTGCAATGTGAACTCCTTTCAACTCATCACTATTTATTTTCCCAAGTTCCCCAGCGTCCATGTCTTTCTCCACGGTAAATGATGAGAAATATTTATTTAGGCTCTCACCCATCTCCTGTGGCTCCACATAGACTTTGTTGATCTGTATTGGGCCCTATTCTCCCCCTAGGTACTCTTTAGCCCTTAATGTACTTGTAGAATCTCTTTGGATTCTCCTTCACCTTATCGGCCAAAGCTATCTCATGTTCCCTTTTTGCCCTCCAGATTTCCCTCTTAAGTGTACTCCTACACCTCCATACTCATCAAGGGATTCACTTGATCCCAGCTGTCTATACTTGGCATATGCTTCCTTCTATTCCTTGACCAGAGCCTCAATATCTCTCATCATCCAGTGTTCTGTACTCCTGCCAACCTTGCACTTCACGCTAACAGGAACATGCTGGCACTGAACTCTTGTTATGTCATTTTTGAAAGCCTCCTACTGCCAGATGTACCTTTACCTGCAAACTTTTGAAAGTTCATGTCTAATATCAGCAAAATTGGCCTTGCCCCAATTCAGGACTTTAACTTGTGGACCAGTTATATCCTTTTTCACAACTATTTTAAAATGAGTAGAATTATGATCACTGGTCCCAAACTGCTCTACAACTAGCATCTCAGTCACTTGCCCTGCCTTATTTCCCAACGGGCGATTGCGTTTTGCCCCTTCTCTCGTAGGGCCATCGACATATTGATTGAGAAAGTTTTCCTGAATACATTTAACAAATTTCTCCCTGCCCAAGCCCTTAACACTATGGCAGTTCCAGTCTATGTTTGGAAAGTAAAAACTCCCAACTACTACAACCCTACTATTCTCACAGCTAGTTTCAATCTCTCTACACATTTGCCCCTCAATTTCCTGCTGACTACTGGGGAGGGACAATGGCAGTGAGTTACTTGTCGCAGTATTCCTAGCTTCTGACCTGCTCTTGTAGCTACTGTATTTATGTGACAAGTCCAGTTGAGTTTCTCTGCAATGGTATCCTTCAAATTCAACATCCTTGAGGTTTCGTGATGGTAACACTATTGAATGTCAAGATATTTGATTGTCTCTTACTGGAGATGGTCATTGCCTGGCATTAGCGTGGTGTGAATGTTACTTGTCACTTGTCAGCTTATCCCTGGATATTGTCCAGGTAGAACATAGAACTTTACAGCACGACATCGGGCCGAAAGGCCCACAATGTTGTGCTGAACATGATGCCAAATTAAACTAATCCCTTCTGTCTGCTGTTGGCCCATATCCCTCCATTCCTTGCATATTCACATGCTTATCTAAAAGTCCCTTAAATTTAAAAGTCCCTGTCGTATCTGCCTCCATCACCACCCCTGGCAGTGTATTCCAGATGGCTACCATTCTCTATGTAAAAGCCTGGCCCCTTACATCTCCTTTGAACTTTCTCCTCTCACCTTAAATGGAGATCTTGTTGCATTTGAACATGGACTGCTTCAGTATCGGAGGAGTTACAAATGGTGCTAAACATTGTACAATAATCGGTGAACATCCCCTTTTTTTTGCTCTTATAATAGAGGCAAGATCATTGGTGAAGCAGCTGAATGGTTGGGCCTGGGACACTACCCTGAGGAACACCTGCAGAGATGTCCTGGAGCTGCAACAACCACAACCATCTTCCTACGTGCCAGGTATGACTCTGACCTGTGGAGAGTTTTCTCCCTTATACCTATTGATTCCAATTTTGCTATGGCTCCTTAATGCCACACTCTGTCAAATATAGCCTTGATGTCAAGGGCTGTCACTCTCACTTCACCTGGTTGATTGTGTGACTGATCTCTTAATTATGATAGTTATAGTATTGTGGATGTTTATGTTATGTGATGTTTATGTTATCTCCTGATTGTCTTCCTAAAGTGTTAATACACTGTGGAGCCATCCTCTTCCTCATGGCCTCTATATAATTTAATAAAACTTTATGTCTTACTGTTGAGATAACAGGGCACCTTGAGATCATTCTGGTATCTGTTTGTTGTGATAAATAAAATAAAGTCTAAGATAGAAAAAATATAAAATGCTACATTCAGTTTAGTAATTAAAGTTAAAAGAGCTACATAGTTAGAAAAAATGGTTCCTGAACCATTTTTGTGGTTAGTTCTAAGCAAGGCAATATTGAATAGTCATGTAGTTTAGTAGAAGGTGATTGCTTTTCTTGAGGACACTAG